CTAGCTGTTGTTAGGAAAGCTGGATTGGCCAAGTGTGGGTGGCCCATGTCTGTAGTCCAGCACTTGGGAAATGAGGCAGCAAGATTGAAAGTTTAAGGTCAGCCTAAGCTATGTAGTGCATTCTTGAACAGCCTGGAATACATAGAAAAACTCTGTCTCAAACAAATGAGCTGGACCAGGTGGCACATGCATTTAATACCAGCACTCAGGAAGGTAGAGGCAGATGGATCTCTTAGTTTGAGGCCACCTTGATTTACATAACAAGATCTAGGCCAGCCAGGGTTACATAGTGAGATGATGTCTCAAATAAATAATAAATAAGGACAGTGGTGGTGGGTGGGGTGTGCTATGATTAATAACTGCTTTTTGTACTCTGGACTGGGACCCTTGGTATTTGATGTCTGGTCCTGGCCCTGCCCTCACTGCCTTGCACTCAGTGAGCTCTGCTGGCTCCTGCCTGTTCTTGCCTTCCCATAGACCTTCTGTGACCATTTTGTTTTCTCTTTGTCTGTGTGCATGTGTGTATGACTATTCATGTGGAGGTGTGTACGCCTCTGTGAGGAGGCCAGAGGGTCATTCTTCAGGCACTGTCCACCTTGTTTCTTGTTTACTCTTTTACTTTGTGTGTGTGTGTGTGTGTGTGTGTGTGTGTGTGTGTGTGTGTGTTGCATGCATGCATGCATCCAGATGGAGATCAGAGAACAACTTGCAGGAATTGGTTCTTTATCTACCACTTGAGTTCCAGGAACTGAACTCAGGTCATCAGACTTGGCAGCAAGCACCTTTACCTGCTGAGCCATTTTGCCACCCCTCCACTTTGCTTTTTGATACAGGATCTCTCCTTAGCCTGGAGTTTGCTGAAAAGACTAGCTAAACCAGCAAACTTCAGAGATCTGCCTGTCTCTGCCCTCCCAGTGCTGCCTGGGATTAGAAGCATAGGCTTTTTTATGTGGGTTCTGGGGTTCTGAATTCAAGTCCTCATGCTTATGCTGCAAGTACTTTACAAACTGAGTTCCCCCCCTTTTTTTTTGGAAACAAGGCTGCTGATCTTCCTGCCTCTTCCTCCCAATTGATAAGATTACAGGTATAAGCCCCAGCACTTTGCTTTCATACACAAAAATTTTCCTTTATTTAGTGTGCATGTATATGTATGTAGGGACCCACATTTGAGAGTGAGTTCTCTCCTTCCACCATGTGGGTTCTGGGGATCAAACTCAGGTTGTGAGGCTTAGTGGCAAGTCCTTTACTGGGTGAGCCAGGTTTCTCTGGTGCTGTGATTTTCTTTTGTTGTGTATGTTTTTGGTGTCACACTTAAACCACCAGAAAATTCAAGGTCATGAAAAGTTACTTCTGTGTTTCTTCTAAGAGTTTTTGTTATTTTGAGACAAGGTCTCTCTATGGTTCCTTGCTGTCCTGGAGCTTACTATGTAGACCAGGCTGTGGTAGGACTTATATTCTCCTGCCTCTGCCTCCTGAGTACTGGGACTAAAGGTGTGTGCCACCGTGCCCAGCTTTTTAAAGAGTTTTATAGCCTCAGCTCTTACAATTAAATCTTTCCCCTATTTTGAGTGAATTTTAATATATGATTGAAGTAAGGACCAGTTGTCCCAGTACCATTTGTAAAGAGACTATCAGTTCCCCTTAGGGGGTGTTAAAATTTTTTTTATTCCATTTATTTATTTATTGGGTTAAGGCACACGTACGCCAGGACATGGTATGAAGGTCCAATTAAATTTTTTTTTATTCCATTTATTTATTTATTGGGTTAGGGCACACATACGCCAGGACATGGTATGAAGGTCCAATGATTTAAAAAAAAAAAAAAAAAAAGAGACTGGGGCTCAGTGGTTAAGAGCACTGGCTGCTTTTCCAGAGGACCCGGGTTCAATTCCCAACAGCCACATGGCAGCTCACAACTGTCTATAACTCCAATTTCAGAGGATCTGACAGCCTCACCGACACAACAATGCACAGAAAAAAAGTAAAAATAAACCATTAGGTGTATCTGGACTCTGAAGCCTGTGGTGTTACTCTGTCTTCATGCTGTCCCACACTGTAGCTTTGTTGTAAGTTTTGAAGTCAGGCAGCGTGGGAATAATCCCTTTACAGCTAAGGACACTGAGGCTGTGGGGATGACCACTGAAGGCAGAGGTCCTGATGGTGGAAGCTGAGGTGACAAGGTAAAGGCCACAGGCTGGCCAGTACTCTTCTCCCCAGAGTCCTCTCTGCAGAGCCAATGTCTTTCCTGTCCCCACCCTCAGTCAGCAACGTACACTGAGCCTTTGGCTGACCCTGACAAGGCAGTTGCCATATCTCCTTTCTAGACCTCACTGGGCCAGAAGATTTCCATGTGACTCCACCTCTGAGACTTCAGGAGAGGTCATACTGGAGCAGTGTGGGCCTATCAGTGCTCACAGCCTGGTCTTTCAGAGGAAGGTCATTAAACCACAAGGCTCCCTGTGCTGCAGGGAGATGCCCAGGGTGGCCAGGACACAGCCATTTGGGGAAAGTGCCCTTAAGGACTTGGGAGTCTCACTCGTACCTCTGGTTTCTCCTTTGCAGTGGTTGGCTTGCAGCCCTGTCTACACTGCATGATGGGCCCTTAGCCGTGTCCATCATCATGATGGTAGTGGCTGGCTTCTTCACCCTCTGTGCTGGGCTATCACTCTTCCTCCTGCAGCGGGTAAGTAGGGTGTGAGCCAACAGCAGACACAAGGAAAAGGCCTACCTCTCCTGAGTGGACGTCTAAATAGTCCTTGTCCCTGAAGTCCTCAGTAGCCTAACATCTTTGTCCAAGGCTCCGGGTGAGCAGGCAGGCAGGGTTGCACTCTTGGGGGCCCTTTGGGAGCATACCCTGATGGCTCGGATTGCTCTGGGCTCTTCTCACCCTGGCCTTGTTCCCTAGGTTCATGCCTTCTACCGCCGAACCGGAGCCAGCTTCCAGCAGGCTCAGGAAGAGTTTTCCCAAGGCATCTTCAGCAACAGGACCTTCCGCAGTGCCGCCTCGTCCGCTGCCCGAGGAACCTTCCCGGGGAACTAGTCTTCCCGACGCTCCTTCCCTCACCCCAGCCTCTTCTGTCACCTGCCTTCTGAGCTGCACTTTCCGTGGGTGCCTTACACAGTGGTTCTGCCCAGCACAGACGTGGCAGGGATTTTGTCTTGTCCCTGTTCCTTCCTCAGCAGGCAGCCCTCCCTTCCACGTAAGGGAGGGGAGGAAGGGACAGGGACAAGGGAAAAGGAAAAATAACAAAGCTGTCTTGTCTTTTCTCACGGTGGATTTTCTGACGGTAGGATTTTGTCTGGAAGCAGTGGGACTGATTGCCTTGAAAACAAACGCACTCACGTGCGTGTAGATTCACGTCCCCCACTCAGGATCCTTGGCGGGCCTGGGCTCACTGGACCAGGAATTTTCCATAGGCATCCTGGACTCCACTCCCCGCTCTGCAGGCTTGACCTGTACTGGGGCCTCCACAGGCTCACCTTTCATGCTTAGGCTTCGTAAGCCTTCCCAGGGCTCCACTCTAGGTGAGCTGTGTTCTGGTGGGTGTGCAGATGCTCCTCACATTGCCTTCGAGTGGTCTCTAGGTGTTCCTCACAATAGTCATGACCCTCCATGCCTGCTCTGTCCCATGGTATAATAGCACCTTGTGCCCTCTGGGGGCCTTCACGAGCCCTTCTCGTCAGACTTCTGAGTGGGGTTGGTTGGGACTTGGGGATTGCCAGGGACTGAAGACAGCCATTGCCCTGCCCAGCCTCTGGCAGTCTTCTGAGAGGGTAGGTGTCATTTGACCTGTTTGTTTTGGCTTCTGTCCTGAGGGACTCTGCCCCTCTGCCTTAGCCTTACTCCTGCCCCATCTTCAGCAATACTCACCTCTTACAACTCTTAGGGTGGCTGGAGGAAGTCAGTCCAGAACTCGGTCCTGCAGGCAGAACTGCTGAGCCATCTTTCTGAGGATTCCTCCCACACTCACAGTGGACTCTGAGTCCCTTTCCACTTGTCCTGGGGACTCCACAGGTGTGTCACTGCAGTGGCACTTAGGTCACTGTTGAACCTGGACCCTGTGTTGTGTGAGTGCCGCAGGAGTTCACCAAGATGGCTAGCCTCCTGCCTCCGGGAACGGGGCCCTCCTGAGGCTACCCTCATGCTGTCAGCCCATTTATCCCTAGAGCCACTGAATGGTAATGACAGCCACCAGGGTTTTGTAAACTTTCTGGTGTTTTCCTCCATGTACAAATGTATATGTCATGTCTCAATTTTTGTGCTTAAATAAAAATAAGATTTTCGGACAGCGCTGGTCCTGATGTCTCTGGTGGACTTGGGAGGACTGTGGCCTACTGAAGTATGGGCTGATAGCCTACTAAGATAGGTGAGGTGACAATTAAGATCCTTGGCAGCTGGACTGTGAGAGACTGTTAAACCACTCAGCTCCGAGGAGGAACCTCTTCAAGAGTGAAAGGCAGAAGGGAGGACTCTGGCAATGGTAACTTGGCTCTTCCATAGGTATTTTAAAAAATTATTCTTAGCCAGGCATGATGGTGCACCTTTAGTTCCAGCCACTCAGAGGCAGAGCCAGGCAGATCTGAGTTCCAGGACAGCCAGGGCTACACAGAGAAACCCTGTCTCGAAAACCAGTATTTTTTTTATATTCTATTGTGTGTGTGCCAGAGTGTGTGTGGTGATCAGAGAACAAACTTGCTGAAAAGTCTGTTCTCCTTCACCCAGTGGGACCCAGGGATCTCCCCAGCCCACTGTTTCTGGTCTTAGAGAGTAGAAGGCCAGGCTCTTCATCCCGCCCCCAACGTGGGTGGTCTCTAGGATGCGGTGTGCTGAGAGAGGGTTTCCCATGTGATAGTGTCCTCAATCCTCGACCCACTTCCGCTACGCCCACTGAAGCCTCGGTGTCTGAAAACAGGCCTGGCAGTCCCTGGCAGAAGGTGTCACCAAGCCCCGGCGGCAGGCGGGGAGGAGCTTCGCAGGGGCGGGGTCGAGCTGCGCTTCCGGCGGGCGGCGCTCGGGCCGTGCGGAGTCCCGCCCCGCCGCCCCTCGAGCGCCCCCAGTTTCGCTTCTGGCCGGAACCTGCGCCCCGAACCAGGAAGCACCTGGCGGCGGGCGAGGGATGGCTGGGCCCGGCTGGGGTCTTCCTCGGCTGGACGGTTTCATCCTTACCGAGCGCCTGGGCAGTGGCACGTACGCCACGGTGTACAAGGCCTACGCCAAGGTGGGTGTGGGCGGGCCGTGCCCGAGGTGTCCTGGCGCCGGGCACCCGGCTCCTGTGCCAGCCAACCCCCAGCAAGCCCGGCTGGGTGACAGGCCGGCCGGAGCAGGAGCGAGGCGGCCGCCTGGCCTCAGGCGGGTGGAAGAGGCTGGAGCCGACTGCCCCTCTTAGGTTTAAAAACAAACACACGCCAGTTTGCTCTGGAAGGGTGGGCAAAGACCTGAGGGAACCTCAGTGTCAGTGGCTGAAGAACCGGCTCCGCATGGAAGTCGCCTTCGGGGCTGGGAGGATTCTGAGACCAGACTCCCAGGAGGCAGGACCAGTTAGTTAGAAGGCATAGTGGCCAGTGACATGCCTTTTTCTGGCCACTCTAGAATGTACTGCTGTAGGTTAGAAACCGGGGTTAGAGAACACTTGCTGGGTTGGGAAGCCAGAATTCCAGAATCCGGATGCCTCATTGATTTGATAAGGGGAAGCTGGGAGACTTGGAGACTTGTGAAGAGTGGATAGACCCAGGCAGGGGGGAGGTTGCAGAGGGACCCAGAGCCGCCTCGAGCCCATGGGGCAGGTCCCCTCAAGATAGAGACCCAAATTTCCTGTCCCACAGAAGGATACTCGGGAGGTGGTAGCCATAAAATGCGTGGCCAAGAAAAGTCTCAACAAGGCATCTGTGGAAAACCTCCTGACTGAGATTGAGATCCTCAAGGGCATTCGGCACCCCCATATTGTGCAGTTGAAAGACTTCCAGGTGTGAGCCTGGGGCGGGGCTCCCTCCAAAGGAGGCTGGAGAGGGGATGCTGCCTACATCTGCCTCTTTACTTCCAACCACAGTGGGACAGTGACAATATCTACCTCATCATGGAGTTCTGCGCAGGGGGCGACCTGTCTCGCTTCATCCACACCCGCAGGATCCTGCCTGAGAAGGTGGCTCGTGTATTCATGCAGCAGCTGGGTAAAGGCCAACGGCACACTCCGTGTTCTAGTCTCCCCTGTCCTCATGCTTTGCAGTTTTCCGTGTTTGTGTCCCTAGCATCTGTGGGGGAGTTCGGGCTTCCACATGTGGAGCATGATGTAAGAACCTTGCAGAATCTTCCAGGGCCCAGTAGGTGGAACCCAAGTGCTTTCGTGAGGAAGAATACAAAGTCCTAAAGGGCTTCGGCTTTTCCGGAGGCTCCTGGAAGGAAGGGGGGCGGGGTCTTAGGAAGGGTGCAAAGAGCAGGCATTTGGGGGAACTCTTAGAAAGTGGCAGAGTTCCAGGTGGTGGTGGCACATGCCTTTAAAAGTGGCGGGAGTCTGGTGCTTCTGTGTATTCTGTAGACCAGCCAGGACAAAACTGCAGTAATGCAGCCGGAGGAGGGTAGATGGAAGCCTGGGGCGGGGAGAGGCAGGTGGGAACTAGGCTCTGATTCATTTTCGTGGGGTGGGCTCCCCAGCTAGTGCCCTGAAGTTCCTGCACGAACGAAACATCTCTCACCTGGATCTGAAGCCACAGAACATTCTGCTGAGCTCTTTGGAGAAGCCCCATCTGAAACTGGCAGGTCTGAGTCTGGAACAGCAGGGTGTTGTTTTAGAAGGGGTAAAGGGCTCCTTGCTGGGCTCCCTCAGCACCCTAGTTCCCAGGGGTGTCTCTGTTAAGTCATTGGTGACAGGTCAGGGGATAAAGGGCTGAGCCCATCACCAAAAGGTAGCACCCGTTCTCAGGCTGCACACACTTAAGTCCTGTAGTGTTGTGGGTGGAGTTAGGGATCACTCTGGGTCAGAGTTGGGGCTCAGTCTGGAAATAATGCCAGTATGTGACCAGCATCCAGCATCAGTCTGTGAGCAGGGACCCAACTTAATCTGTCATTAGGATTAGGGCTCAGTCTGGACAGCTGAGGAGAATATGGCAGTGGAAGGGTGGTTGTGGCCTCTGATAAGATTTGAAAAAGAATGGATTGAGTTTGGAGGCCAGAGAACATGACATAGCTTAATCCTGTCGGGGGAGGCAGGGGGGCTCTCAGTGCACATTGTGTTTTGAGACGGCCTTCTTAGGAGAAGGTGCTTAAGGGGCTGTGTGCCACGAGGAGGGTTTCCACCCCAGAGAGTGATATAGGCCGAGTGCTGTGGGCCAGTGGCACAGGGGAGGAGGTAGGAGCAATCCAGGTGAGCCTAGGGTTGGGAGGAGCTCTGACTGGAGTCTCAGTAGCAGTTGGGATTTGAACCCTGTGCCTGGCCTCTTGCCTGCAGACTTTGGCTTTGCACAGCACATGTCTCCGTGGGACGAGAAACACGTGCTTCGTGGCTCCCCACTCTACATGGCTCCCGAGATGGTGTGCCGGCGGCAGTACGATGCCCGTGTGGACCTCTGGTCTGTGGGGGTCATCCTGTATGGTGAGACCTTTGTCCCCTTGCTGTCCACCCCGATTATTCTGCATTTGGGCAAGGCTTCTCCAGGCCCCTCCTGGATTCTAATGAGAATTGAGGGACCCAGGGCTCTACTCTGAGGAATTTTGGTTCCCTTCCCAGGGGTGAACGAGGCAAGACTTAACCCTGTTTCCTTCCAGCTCCCCCCCTCTGCCTTCTTCCACAGAAGCCCTCTTCGGGAAGCCCCCCTTTGCCTCCAGATCGTTCTCAGAGCTAGAAGAAAAGATCCGCAGCAATCGAGTTATTGAGGTGCGTCTTGCAGGGAGGGTCTTGGCATCCACTGGGGATTGAGGGATTCAGGGCCCTAGGTTTTTATCATATCGCTACAGACTGCAGTCTAGGCTCCAGGCCTTTCAGGGTGGTAGGGCATGCTCTGCGTGGAAGCATAGGCTCTGGTCCATTTCTGGGGATCCAGATCAGCCACGCAGGCAATAAATGACCTATGGGGAAAAGGCCATGATGAAGCCAGGCCCAGTCTTCCCATAGTCCAGAGCTAGAGGCAAATTCCCAGGATGTTTGGCTCTCTTCCTATTCATCACCAGGACCTGCCATATTCTCCCCAGGTCTCAGATAACCCACCAACAAACGTGTACCCCTTATGGGAGTTCCTAAAGGGCCTCGGGCTTTGGACTCAGATGCTGGAGCCCAGTGTGATGTGCCCCTGCTCTGTTCCTCTGCAGCTCCCCCTTCGGCCCCAGCTCTCCCTAGACTGCCGGGACCTGCTGCAGCGACTCCTAGAACGGGATCCCAACCGTCGAATCTCCTTCCAGGACTTCTTTGCCCACCCCTGGGTGGATCTGGAGCACATGCCCAATGGGGAAAGCCTGGCGAGAGCAGTAAGCAGACCCATGGGAATGGGGTGGGCTGGGTCTCACTTGCCCACTCTGGTGGTGAGCTGGCCCACGGAAGCTGAGCCGGTGGCCACGAGGCAGGTGGAGTTCTGACGGATGATGCTGGTTGGTGTGGCATTAGGAAGTTAGGTCTGACTGCTGATCCTCCTGTCCCCCAGACAGCCCTTGTGGTGGAGGCTGTGAAGAAGGACCAGGAGGGGGACGCTGCTGCAGCCCTGTCCCTCTACTGCAAGGCTCTGGACTTCTTTGTACCTGCCCTGCACTGTGAGGCCCAGACCATTCCTCTAACCTGGGTACAGAAGGGGCAGGAATGGGGTCATGCTCCCCATTCAGTACCTTAGGGGAGACAGTGCAGAAGATAAACCTGGAGCTTGTGTCTGAGGAGTGCAGAGGGCTGACTGTGGGGCAGGGGTTCCCATACAGATTCCTCATATGAACTCTTCACCTTCCGCAGACGAAGTGGATGCCCAGCGGAAGGAGGCAATTAAGGCCAAGGTAGGGTGGCCTCCCCAGGAGGAAGTAGATGGACATGGAGGGAGAGGACCTAGAGATCACAAGCCTCTGACAGATGTAGAGCCTCCTCTCTCATAGCATAGGGCTGGGGGAAGGGTTGGGTCAGCTTGTTTAATGTCTGACCTGGTTCATGCGAGGCAGTCACTGAGGACTGGAGGCAGACTTGGAGGTGGGTGCTGGCTAGCGGGACAACCCTCAGCCCCTTATTCCCTTACAGGTAGGGCAGTATGTGTCCCGGGCGGAGGAGCTCAAAGCCATCGTCTCCTCCTCCAATCAGGCCCTGCTAAGGCAGGACACATCTGTCCAAGGCCTGCTGCGAGGTAGGCTGCAGTTCCTGGTCCGTGTACGAGTCCTGGCAACCCCACTTCGTCTTGACAAGGAGACTGAGGTGGGCTTTCTGTGAACAAAACAACAGGCTGCTCCCCTCACTGTGAGCCTTTCCTCTTCCGTCAGAGATGGCTCGGGACAAGCCCCGCCTCCTTGCTGCCCTGGAAGTGGCCTCAGCTGCCATGGCCAAGGTTTGTGCTCACTGGGAGGAGCAAGGTGGGACAGGAAGGAAACCAAGGCACAACATGGAATAATGTGTTGCCCCTCTGGCCGTAGGAGGAAGAAGCTGGCAAGGAGCAGGATGCCCTGGACCTGTACCAGCACAGCCTCGGGGAGCTGCTACTGCTGTTGGCAGGTAAGGCTGCAGCACCCCTGCTGCCCCCGCCCCTGGCTGTCCTGTCCTCACCGGCTCCCCTCTCTTTACAGCAGAAGCCCCGGGCCGAAGGCGGGAGCTCCTTCACACTGAGGTACTCAATGCAGTGGGAGTCAGAGTGTGTTGTCCATCCTCTCCTTTTACACAGCTCGTGTCTCTGGGACCTCTTTAGATTACACATGGAGTTCCCCTGCTCTTGGGTATTCCAAGACCGGAGGCCATCCTCAGAATTGTGAAGTCACTGAGGCAGGACTTCAGGTCACTGGATAAGCCAAAAGCCTGCTGGGCTCCTGCAGCAGGGGGGGAGCAAACGGAAGGTCAGAGACAGGGCAGGGGTGAGCAGGCACTCGATGTGAGGCCCGTACACTGCTAGGCATGCCTTCTCTCGACAGGTTCAGAACCTCATGGCTCGAGCTGAGTACCTGAAAGAGCAGATCAAGGTGGGCATGCATGGGCCACCCTGGCAGGGTTGTGGGTCCTTCCTCCTCGTGGTTGTGGGTCCTTCCTCCTCGTGGTTGTGGATGTGCTGTGGCTTCCGAGTCGAGCTGTCTGCCTTACCCCCTGCCCTCTTTTACATCCCACAGATAAGGGACTCTCACTGGGAAGCAGAGACTCTGGACAAAGAGGGACTGTCGGAGTCTGTTCGGAGCTGTGAGTCCTGCCCTGGGGTCTGACAGCCCATAACAGGGTTCTGCCTCTCTTGCCGAAGACCCAAGCCTGACTTTGCCCTTTCATCTCTCCCAGCTTGCACACTGCAGTGACATCAGAAGGACTAGTGGATAGAACACAAGTCTAGAGAGAAGCTATGTACCAACCCAGGTTCGCACCTGTGCACCTGGGACCTTCCTGGATGAACACCTCAAGATGTCCACATCCTAGTTCCCAGTGTTCCTCTGAATGCTCTCCACCCCTGGAGGCTCTGGTGGCCCATGTACTGTGCCGGGTGTACTGAACTCTGGGAGAACTACTTTACTATGACTTTGTTAGTAGGTGACTGCTGGCCTAAACCTGTCGGCTTCAGGACATCATCACACTGTGTGTGTTTTGCTCTGCAAAGAGGACACCATGCCTCTTCAGGGCACCTCTGTTCCTTCCCTGCTACCAGGCAGCTGCTGTACCTGGGCCAACCCTTCCTGGGAGCCTTTATTCCAACCTACTCCCTTCTTGCACTGGAATGGGACACTCCAATACCCCTCAGGGACTACCTACCCTACAGGATGCACTCAGCCCTGCAGAACTCTCTAGTCTTCCTGGGAGTGCACACCTGCCATCCTTTTTAGTACTTTAAGACAATCCTTCATGCATGAATGGCGTGTCCTTTGTAGGGGTGGGGTACATGTGAGAATTCCAGGCCTGTCCCTGCCTTGGCATGGAGGAGAGGTCCTCATCTCTCCTACTTACAGCCCTCTTTTGGGGGGAATATGCCACACTAGCCATATAGTGGGCCCTGTGCTGGAGCTGGGGCTTGGTTGGGCCTGGGTCTTCCCTTTTGTCCTCTTAAGCCATGGGTACCTCCACAGCTTACACTTTGTATGAGCTGGAGATGAACTACCATATCTGGAATTACTGGAAGGTTTCTTTTTTATTTCCCTCCCAATCATTATCTTGTTTCAAATTTTTGTGTTGAAGGCTGATTTTGAATAAGGAGCAGGGGAGCTGTTCTGCATCAGATAATCCCAAACCACAAGCGGTGAGGGTTTCTTTTTCTTGTGTGTGTGTGCGGGGGGTGCAGGCATTCTTTCTTTCTTTTTTTTTTTTGCAGGGGGGGGGGTGGTTCGAGACAGGGTTTCTCTGTGTAGTTTTGAGCCTGTCCTGGAACTCACTTTGTAGACCAGGCTGGCCTCGAACTCACAGAGATCCGCCTGACAGGCATTATTTCTAAAGTCAGAGAATGTTGGTGATTTTTAATCATTCTGCCTCCTTAGGACAAAGTGGAGCCTTGTCGGAGGCTGGATGTATATAAAGAATGCAGTTCATTGTTCTCTATTAAATTATTTTCCATACTCATACATCTCTTCTTGCCTTGGAAAAATAGGTGAAGTGGCCCTGCTCGTAGCCTAGGAAAAGCTGGGGAGCCTGAGGAAGTTAGTCCCAGAGGGAGATGACAGATGTACATCTGCCTTTGGTCTCTGGGGATCCAGGAGTCCCACTGACTGCCACCATTCCCGCCCTAGTGTGTGTTGGGGAGGAGCAGGGCTGGACAGACCTGGGAGCCCAGCCAGGCTCTTGCTCTGCATACCTCAGCTTAGTGGCAAGTGGCAGGCCCTCTAGAACACTCCTCTACACCATCCCACAGTGCACACTCCATGTCCATCCAGTGTCCCAAGCCTCTCATTCCTTCTCACTCTGGCCTGTGACTGAGCAGCAAGCTGGGTTTCAGGAAAAGGGGATCTTTTAGGGTTTCTTTTCCTCATACCTAGTCCCCCAAAGGTCCCTAGACTGGAGTAATTTCCAGCAGTCTCTTGCCTTAATGATTCTTGGGCCTATTACCGTGGGTCTGATACAGGAGGGGCCAAGTCAGAAAGAATGAATTTTCTGAAGCCTTTGGCCTAGCCATTGTGGGGTAGTGTGGAACAGTGTCCTGTAGGGCAGAAGGAACTGCTGAAGCCATGGTTCTGTTCCTTGGCCCAATGCTTGGACTGCACAGTTAGTCTGTTGGTAATAAGGCGGTGTATATAGGCCTGGTATATAGCCTGAGTACAATTAAATGTTATTTTCAAATGTAGGGAGAAAATCATACTTCACATTTTCTCTGGAAATGGAGCAGATGAAAAGTTTCAGTAAGAAAAATTAGGGAAAAGGAGGAGGGATGAATGGAGAAGACAGGCTGACAGGATGGGTGAAGCTTAGGAAAGGACAAGGAAGAGGGCCATCATGTCTTTAGACCGTTGTTTATTGTGATAGCTACACTGGCCAGCTGTCTGGAACAGGGGCCTGAAATTCTTACACAGGGTGTTTGAGGAGTAGGCCCGCATGGGACACCCAATACAGGAAGGGCATGGGAGTCTAAGGCTCTGGGAAGGGCTTCTCCCAAGCGTTGAATTGATGTCCTCCAGGAAGGTCCTGTTGCCAAGATACCTGTGAAGCAGGTGGACTAGTCTGGGAGCTGGAGCAAGCGGGGAGGGGGCTCCGGAGAGCTTTTCTAGTGGCACAGGCCTAAAGGAAGCTTAAGATCAGCTTTTCAAGTATTTTTCCTCTGAGAGATAGAGAGAGAATTGCTGCCACTTTGTACCTTCAAGGCATTCAAAAATGTCTATCCTGGAGCTCTATGTCCTTGTCCTCCCATCTCTCCTCATCCAGTACCATACTGGGCCAAGGACACCCCCTGGGACCGGACCTCCCATTTTCCCAAAGGCCAGCCCTTGGAGGAGCATATAAGCTTCAGGAATAGACCAAGGGATCCATCCGGGTGTCTCTGGGCTCAGCCTGCAATACCCCTCCCCCCTTTTATGAGAAAGGCTATACAGTCTTAGTTCATGAAGGTGATCTGGAAGGACTCTAGCTCCAGAGGCCAAGTTGCTGTCCCAGGCTTCTCTAAGAGGGATATGGCCCCCACTATGAAGCTGAGACAGGAGGGGTGAGGCACATCAATGGCCACTTTTCTCCATAGTAATTCATATTATCTCGCTATCATTTGAAATACCAAACACACAGAGACAGAAACAAAGCTATGTCTGAGCTCACATGCAGACCTACATTCATGGTTCCAGAAATGCAGGCACAGGTCTTGCTGAGGGAGGCAGAGGCAGCCTCAGCAGTGCTACACTCCTGGACCCGGGCCAGTGGCCTCCCCACGCCTCACACAAACTCTGGGAATAGCAATGCTTTGCAGTCACGGGATTAGAGGCAGGACCAGAGGCTCCCCAGCTCCCCAGCCCTTTGCAACCTCAGCTCTGTGGGACAGAGGACAGAAGCCCAGCCCTCCCCCCTTCCCCCCAGTGCTGAGCTGAGCGTCAGCTGGGTCAATAGGCACTGTCAGGAGCTCAGCTGGACAAGTGAATATGCCCCAGATGTCCCCAGTGCCTGCCTGGGGCTTCCAGTGTCTGAGGAGGGACCATCTGGCTGTTGGGAGAAAGGGAGATCCTGCACATTCCAAACCCTGGCCACCCTCCCCACCCCCGCCCTGGGAAACAGCTAGCCTTAGAAAGACACTGGTTATTTCTGCACTCCTCTTCCCACTGGGAACTGGGCCTGAGCTGCCCGGGTGGGTGGGAGGCAGGAAAAGCAGCCTGGAGGCTCCTGAGGTAGGGTCCAGAGGTGCCACCAATTTCTCTGGGACCCTGTGTCTTGTAGAGCCAGAGAACTTGTGTGTGCTGTGGGGGGGGCAGGAGGAACAGGCTATGTATTTTGATCTTCCCTGTCCTGGGGTATTCTTCCCTCAGAATCCCTCCTCGATTCTGGGAATTCTTCTCATTTTTCCTTAAATCTACACTTGCTCGGGGTGGGGTCAGGGAGTAAGAAGAATTGGGGCCAGAAAAACTCTTTTTTCATCACCTTTGTGCATTTCCTATGTCCTGCAAGGGAAGGAAGGAAGGAGGGAGGGAGAAGGAGCGGAAGGATGGCCTATTTGGAGAGGAGGAGGCTAGGCTCTGTTACAAGGGAAATAAACGTTGGAGGCAAATGGCTTCCTTTGTGGTCTTCGTTTCATATCAGATGGGTGGACCAGTCCTGGAGCATGTGATTTATATATAATATATATTATATATAAAATAAGAGTGGAAACAGGATGGGAGAGCTGGAGCTTGAGTGCCTACCTCTAGGGCCTATGCGGAAGACAGCTCCAGTTTGGTTGGGTTAGCCGCTCCCTGTGAAGGGTATGGAACCAAGAATGAGGATGGTATTGGGAGATGCAGAGGAGCACATGGATGGACAGAAAAATCCAGTAACTGAGCTGACAGAGATGGGGGTGGGGCTCGGCCTTCCTCCCTTACCCATCTTTGCCTGAGCTTCAGACTGGTTCTTTTGCCTAGAGCCCCCCATTCCAGGGACACAGCAGACAGACAGGTCAGGGCCTCGTGGAGTTCCTGGGATGTGAGTGGGGAATCAGTGAGGAGGCAGAGTCCCCTCCCACTTCCTGACCTCAGGCACCAAACAGCCCTGCTTTGACAGGGTTCAGTGAGTGTCCCCAAGCACCCCTACCACCTGACCTGCCAGGCTGGCCTCCTTCTCAGCCAGCAAAGCACTGAGGGGGAAGGGGCTGTCCAATCCCATTAGGCAGAAGGCCCCTGAGGGTGGAGGGCTGACGTGGACCCTGCTGTTGATGCTGCCAAGGCAGCCCATGCTCCCCGCACCCCCAGCTTGGGGCTCCTCTGGGAAGGTCAGAGAGGGTTTTGTCCAGTGGCTGCTAAGCGCTTCCCCAGGGGCTGGACCAGAAACATCTCAGAGACTCAGATGCCTCCTTAGGATGCTCAAAGGATGCCCAGTGTGGATAGCCCCAAGCAGTCCCCAGTGTTTCCCTCCCTTATTTTCGGGGCATAGATCCTTTCTGTCCTCACCCCCTTAATTTTTCCTGCCTCTTTCTCTCAGTTCTTCCACCTCAACATTACCTACTCTTGTTTATTTTACAGGGAGACCTAATGGGAAGTTTGCCCTTGAAAACAAACTGTCTTTCCTGCCTGTAATAGTGATGGCTTCCTCACAGGTCTGCACTTAGCTGGTGAGGCCAGGAGGCACCAGGTGCCTGTAGTGCTTTCCTTCTGCCTAACAAGCCCCTGGGATGACCCACTGGAGCAGCTCTTTGGAACTTCCAGAACACCATCCCCACCCTGCCTGCCAGCCACCAGAGTGTGATGACATTTGGAGTCTTCCTTTAAGAGAAACATTTTTCTCTTTTGATTCTTCACTAAAGTCTTACAGAGTGTTGCACATCTGCAATCCCAGCACTTGGGAGGCTAAATCAGGAGGATTAAAGTTCCAGACTAGCCTCGGCTAGATAGTGAGATCCCCTCTCAAATACAAAGGGGCTGGAGAGATGGCTTAGTGGTTAAAAGCTCTGGATACCCTGCCCAGATTCAATTCCCAGCACCCCATGGCAACTCAAAGCCATCTACAGCTCCAGTTCCAGGGATATCTGATGTCCTCTTCTGGCCTCCTTGGTCACCAGGCACACTGGTGGTGCACAGACATACATTCAGACAAACACTCATACACATAAAATGATAAATTTAAAACATGGGACACAGAAGGTGAGGATACAGCCCAGTTGGTCAAAGTGCTTGCCTAATGTGCACAAAGCCCTCGGTTAGATTCCACGCACAGCCTAAACTGGGTGTGGTGGCCCATTCCTGTAATCAAGGTACTCAGGAGGTAGAGGCAAGATGATCATCACTGCCTACACAGAAGTTTGAGGCCAGTCTGAACTACTGTGAGACTCTGTCTCAAACAAACCAAAATAACATTAATACCAACCAACCAACACAGAGAGAGGGAGGGAGAGAGAAAGAGAGAAGAAACCCAGCAGAAACAATAATTCACTGCCTAAGCTCTTCGAGGGCACCAGCTTCCAGTCTCAGGCCACCTCCCCGCCAGGTGCCAGGGACTAACGCCGCCCTCCCTAGCAGGTCTCACTCGGTGTAGCACGGCTGTTGGTCCCTCCACCTCTGCTAAAAACTGTGTTACCACGACTGACAGAGGGCATTCTTAAGGGCGTGGGTGGAGCTCAGCGGTGGATTACTTGCCTTAGTATGCAGTGTATGAGGCCCTGGGCCCCCAGCATTACCAAGAAAAAAATAAAAAGAAAACAAATAGCCACTCTTTGAAACACATTTATTATGCTTGGGGAAGAGAACTCTTCATTTTACCAGAGCAGCAAAGGCTCAGAGGAGCAAAGGACCTACTTAAGGACACACAGCAGAGCCAGGCTGGCGCACGGTGACCCTTTTGGCTGTTTCGTTCTCCAGCTTTTAGGTGAGGGGACACTACAGGACAGGTGTCAGAGACAGCCCTCTCTCTAACCTCAGGAAACACCTTCCCATGCACCTCTCCATCCAACTGGCTGCCACACCCTC